CCGTAAGTACTTATTTGGTGTTTTAATACTTTGATTATTTTAGTTGTAGTTTAATACTTAATTTAAATTTCTATCTATTTTATAAATATACAATAACCCTAAAATTGCAGCCCAAATATCACTGGTTCGAATATTGCATATCGAATTGCAATATTAAACATGTAGAAGCAATATCGACTTCTTAAATTAATATTATTTTTCAGAATTACTATGGAGAAATTATATCTTTGTGCAAACTATATGAGACTGGTTCTTTTAATGTTTTAGTCGGGATAACCGCTACATTTTAAACTTCTTCATAATCTGGCATCATTGGATCCAATGATCATTATACAAGATTGTGTTTAATAGGGTGGCTCATTTCACCACTTTTTGGCGTGTTAATGAATTTGTAGGACAATGACAGGTCTACATCTACACTCATCACAATCTACACATCATATAAATGTGAAATGAGAAAAGAGGGATTCCATTTCAAATTTGATGCGTACAGAGCAATTTTATAGGGGTAAATTTAGAAGATGCCAGTGCGGTCGGTCTGTTGAGCACGAAAGTAAAAATATGTTTTCATTTAAACGGGCCCAAACTGTTATTTGGCCCACTAATCGTGCACCCATCGCCAATGCAGTCAAATTCGAGATTTTGATCGTAAAATCGTAGGATTTTAGGATTTTACTTAGGGATTCCGATCTTGATTTTACTATAAAATCGGCGGACCTTAAAATCGTTTAAAATCGAGACTAAAATCGTTAAAATCGTAAAATAGTACCGAAATCGGGATTTTGATCGTAAGAGAACAAAATAGGTGGTTTGAGCCAATTTAAAATAAGTATAACTGTTTCAGCGGAAAGGGCAATGGAATCTTCTCAAATATTTTTCTATTAGAAAAATATTCAAAAATAATAAAAATAACCAAATTAGGGTTCGGTTAATCTCTTTCCCTTCACCCCATTTAACTTATTGGTAAAACACCTGTCCTAATATTGGAAGTATGTAAGAACTAACATCATTATTAACTAATTAATTTATTAATGAATATATTTGTACCAAGCCACTAACATTACTTATTTTATTGGAGTTCAATTATTTTTAGTTTTAAATCATACTTAGTAGACGATGTCGAAATATTACTTTGAGTTAAACAACCTAGACATAACATGAAAATAAGAGCCAAACCCATGAACTATATCCCTTCATCATGAATTATTTTGAGTTACACATTAAATAACAATTAAAATAGTGATTTTGGAACATTAATCTTGAGAATTATCTTATGGAAAAAAAATCTTGTGAATTATCATTTTAAATGCTATGTGCCTTTGTGATATTAATAATTTACCTAATTAATATTCTTATATGCTATGTTCTATATGGTACTTAAAATCCTACGATTTTACGATTCGATTATACGATTTTGATTTTACCCCAGTTTTCGATTTTAGGTAAAATCTCGATTTTAACTGCTTTGCCCATCGCAGCCTCTCCAAATCTTCCTATTCTACTCGCCGGGTCATCTCCTCCACTACAAAATATCTCCTCATGTACTCAAAGTTCTCACTGAAACCTAATATCTACAACTTAGGCGCAGAGGGAGCAACCGATGGATTGTAGCGACCCCCACTATTTTGATAGCTAATCAAGAAGAGTGCGTTTGTTTAGTTGTATGGTGATTCACTTAATTAACAATTTTTATTCCGTTGACAGCCTCCTCTCCGCAATTGTATTGTGTTCACGAAGATCTGAAGGCGCAAGTGCAACAGGTCCAGGGGTAAACAATATGTATAAAGCGTTGGCCAAATTGAATTGAGTCATTCTACTTGGAATATGAAGATTTTTGCTTAATTGCTTTGGTTCGTGATGCAACTATGTTATGTTTGAAGGTAGACCAACGCAAACAACAGCACAGCTCCAGGGCTATTCTGCACATTAGGTAGTTGGGGCATTAATTGATAATTATTTGGGATTATTCCTACAAGTACATAATTTGGAACGTGTCTTTATATTGCATTGATTAATAGTTGTTTGAGATTTTTCAAATGAGTGATTTGACATGTTAAACTCTCTTATTTTTGAAAATGGAGTCTTCGAAGTGGAATATGAAGATTTTGGATTAAGCTTGGTTTCGTAACGCCCTTATGGGTGTTTATTCTCTAAAATGCAGCTCTCTTTCAAAGTGCCCGTTGCAATTGGCAAGTCAGGATACAACGATGGTACCGGTACACGTTTATATCATTAGTAGGTAGCAGATTGTGTCCATTCTACTATATCATTTAGCTAAATACTTAGTTGTTCTTTTCAACTAAAAATTATGCTTAAATGTTGTGATTGGCCTCAGAAATGTATGTCTTTGCATTAACTGTTAATGATTGTGAGTTTTGGTTTAATGGTGAAAAGTTCATTTATTTAGAAGTCTAAATTGGGCAAACCTATTGGACAATAGGAATGCCATACATTAGTGTCGTGGGAGGTTTGTTTGATGTCTCAGGGTGTTAGATTTTTAAGAAGGTTGTTTGTTGTGGCAGAGAGTCCCTAAAGCTAGCGAGGTATTCCTATGTGGGCTTTTTCTTTGTTTGACTTTTTCTCGCCTTTTTTCTTATCTCTTTTTCTATTTTTGGTTTTTGTGTGCTACCTTCAGTTGCTACGTCTTCATTTGTGAGCCATCTATACTTTTCTTATTCAGTGCCTAAAAATCATATATACTCGATTGCATAGTAGTTACTAATAGATACATTTATACCAGTAGAGAGATTTTAAGTTTTATCAGTTGTTAGTTTTAATATTTACTTACATTGGTTGTTTATGTAGTTTTCTTTGTAATATTTCTCATTATACAACTAATTACTATGGCTACGTAGTTGTATAAGTGGGGGTTGGACATGATAGTTCTTAGAAACATCAATACTTGAAGGTTATTATAATGACCAAATTCTAAAGTTATGGTTTGCCTTCAACTTCCTTGGAGCATTTCAATTATGTATCAATTGTTCTCTCCGTGTAGTTAACTCTCAGACAAATCGAAAATCTTGCTGATATGTGCTTGATTGTAGTTAAATTTAGGGTTCTACTGCATTGTTGCTTTACTCTTTTTTCGTTGTTGAGTCTGCTTCAAAAAATTTAGTTTGATTTTAGAAAATTTTGCTTCTGCAGTCCTGTCTTGCCACCAACGCGTTCAATAGATGGAGACGGGAGAGGCGAAGGCTATTTTTGTGTTGTTGTTGCTGGTTTAGGGATCGGTTTGTGAAGAAGAGGGAGAAGAGAGGGGGAAAGGGAAATGCAGGAGAGGGGGATAACTCTTTTCTCCGACAAAAATGGAGTGAAGAAAGGAATTATGTTCAGTAAGAATATGGTTATCTTACATAACGGTCTCTATTCTGTTTGAATTGAGCTTGAGAGGCAGTGATAAGGACGAGCTGCAACCAATTCATAGTGAGAAGAGAGCTATGAACTGTGATCATGTCTTATTTCAAGTTAGAAGGTAGTTTCAGTATAAGGATTATTTAATTTGACAAGTTGTTTCGTCCATGATTCTTGGTAGTTTCAGTGCCATTCTAGCCAATGTTTAGTCTGTAATTTTTGAGAATTGATGTGCGAGTAATGACTTTCACTTAGCTTCAACTATTATGTGTGTATTTATTGGCATGTGATAGAATTCTCTTTTCCTTTTCATTGAATTCATTTTCATACTCTAATTGTATTATTTGTACATAGGCAAATCATGCTCGAGATGGCAACTCGCTGATATGGCTGGTGCAAGGAATGAAGCCATCATTAGAATTCAGACCGACAACGGGGAGGGATGCCCAGGACTAATTCAATGATGATTGATGATGGTATAATAAAAACTGCAGTCTGCATCAGCACCAATTTCTAGGCCTAAGTAAAGGTATTCAACCCAGAACTCTGCTTAGCGCTAAAAATTGCCCTCACCCAACCTTGATCCTGTTTGACCCACTTCTGAAGAGTCAAGATATATGACTAATCTTCCCCGTTCGTATTTTCTTATTGACTCTTTCTGACCCTGTAGGTTGGGGCGGGTCGGGAAGAATTGGATTAGTGGGTCGGTCCTAATCAAGTGGAATCTCAATCCCTTCACTCTCACTTGCTTTCTCTCTCATTCCACAAGTGGGTAACATACAATAATCCGACCAACGGGCCGGGTAATAAGCTAGTTCACTTATATTCGCATCACTTCCACAATTTTATCTCCTTCTCATCATAAACAAATTTCATCTTCTTCCCGAGTAAAAACTTATCTTCTTTTCTATCTCTTGATAAGGTCTAGAACTAATCACCTTTTGAGTTGAAAGGAATGATGAAATATTAATACAACAAGGAAAGAAATACATATATAAAACATAGGCAATACATAAATAAAATATAGGAAATACATCAATAGAACGTGAAAAATATGTAAATATAAGGCAAACATAAATACATCAAGAAAACATAGGTAATTCATGTGATGAATATATGATTATCTAAACTAGTTATTGTGTGTTCTTCATTATTTTGATGACATCTAGGGCTGTCATTTCGGTTTCCGGTTAGCGGCTAACCGGCAGGTCTAACCGTTAACCGCCGGTTAGCGGCTAACCGAAAACCGGAAATAAACAGTCACGGTCGGTTGGCGGAACATGGGTGTGGGCAGGCGGTTAGCCGAGTAACCGAGGCCGGTTAACCGGCCAACCGGCTCTAACCGACCGATTAATACGCCGCCGTTTTGAATGGTGAGAAAACGACCCCAACCCTAGACACTCTTGAGTCTCGTCCCTCTTCATCCTCTCGACTGCGCGAAATCGTCCCTCTTCATCCTCTCGACTGCGCGAAATCGTCACCCTCCCCCAGCCTCCCTATCGTCGGCCGTCGGCTCGTCGCACAGCGCCCGCCAGCCCGCCATCGCAAGAATTCGCCATCGCCGGCCGCGCCTCCAGTCGCCTCGCCACTCTGCCGCCACCCTCCAATCGCCGCCAGTCACCAATTGCCGCCACCCTCCAATCGCCGCCGATTAACTTTCCATGGCCAACATTGACATCGACGGCCTCCTCCGCGGCGAGGACGGCGACGAGAGCCGCGTCCCCAGGACCAAAATCGTCTGCACCCTGGGACCTGCATCCAGATCCGTCCCCATGATCGAGAAGTTTCTCAGGGCGGGGATAAACGTCGCCCGATTCAATTTCTCCCACGGCTCCCACGAGTACCACCAGGAGACCTTGGACAACCTCCGCATCGCCATGCACAATACCAGCATCCTCTGTGCCGTCATGCTCGATACCAAGGTCACTTTCTTTGCCCATTTTACTAATTCAATTTCAAATTCAGCACAGCGGAAACCCTAACTTTTGCTTCTCAATTCACCATCCAGGGACCGGAGATTCGCACCGGATTCTTGAAAGATGGGAACCCGATCCAGCTTCAGGAGGGCCAAGAGATCACGATCTCTACTGACTACACCATCAAGGGAGATACGGTCTTCGGTCGGTTAGGACAGCAGACCGAACCGCCCCTCACTTTTTCGGTGTTGTCGGTTTAACCGTGCCTTAATCGAAACCGCCCGGTCGGTTTACAATTAACCGAGGCGCCAGGGTCGGTCGGTGGCCGGTGGTGATTGGTCAGGTCTCGGTTTAACTGAAAACCGAATTCTCGGTTTTCGGTTAAACCGAATTCTCGGTTTTCGGTTAAACCGAATTCTCGGTTTTCGGTTAAACCGAAACCGACCAGTTGACAACCCTAATGACATCATATTCAACGACACAATTTTTAACATCCAAACCAGTAGTTATACCAAAATATTTGCATTAATAAATTATTAGTAGCTATATAACAACAATGCACAAATTCTCTAATTAAAATGATGAAATCTACATTAAGCTAGATTATTGAAAAATGTGAAATTTGGAGATTTTTGGCATTCTAGCACGCCCTATTGGAGCTATAGGTGTTAAACAATTATCCTATTAAAGGTGTAACAAATCATCAAATCAGAACTGACAGTTGACCGTTACACTGATAAGTGATTGAAAAGTCAAGGATCGGTTTCCCATAGCCAAATCTGGCGGATTACAGAATGACAGTTAAACGGTTAGTAACCAAATATTAAATGGTTAACCGACTAATCGATTACAACCATCCTCATAGTTAGGGTTGACAATAATAGGCCTCGATGAGCCGTTCGACGTAGGCCAAGAATAATGAGATGTTTGTGGGGTACAAGATCCCTTGTCTACCCTCGTTGTAATAGTGGTTTAAGTTCAAATGGGAATAATTTCAAGGATGAGTATGAAGGAGAACAATAGAAAGATGGACTTTCGCAAAGTAACTCGACAACAATCAACAACATTCAACCTTCCATGTAATTTGGTGGGGTTTACGAGTTGAATAATTGTTGTTGGTCTCTTATGCTTGCTGCTTCTTTAATCAAATTTGACGGTAGAATGGTGTTATTGTGCACTTGAGATGATTGATGGATTGCTATCGATGTTAAATTATTCTTATTCAATGATAAAGACTAAAAGAATAACACAATAGAAAAAAGAGGAGGTTTTCTATTGGTTAGGTACCGATCTGTTGTTTTGATCTAACCTCGTTGAATCACATGCTTAATGGTTATCCGATTAAACGACAAAATCACCGATAACCGGCTATACCGTTACTGTTAACCGAATAATATAAACGGTGTAGTTAATGGTAAGCACAAGTTTCTTAATGATTAACCAATAGCCAACTAAACGATTATAACCAAATCGAACCTATTAACAGCCCTAATTGGAGCAAAACTCCCTTCGGTGGTGCTAAATGCCAATTGGCACTTTCAAATTTTGCATTAAAGATAGTTTAAGGAGTGCCAAACATTGGGGCTTCATTTGGCATCTAACTCAACCAAAAGGGGGTTTTCACCGATGGTGAGTGTTAGAAAATGCATATCTCATCATTTCAATTAAGTCATTTGCTCATTATTTGTATATAAGTGGTAATTATTAATTAAAATGAACATTTTGACAGTCATCACCATATATATATATGGTTATGTCTTCGGTGCACTCACTTTTTTTGGTGCATTCAATGCACCCGCCTCATAATCATCATTCTGAACACGCGATTCATGTGAAAACGATGTCAATCATCACTTGTGGTATGATGAACAAGAACCACACGAATTTGTACAAAAATCATTCAAGATTCACTTTAATTTGAATGATTCAGGGTTTAGGAATTTAGGGTTAGGGTTTACAATTTGGGATTTTGAGCTGAGATTCAAAATTGAAGGTTAATAGGTTAGGGTAATGGGTTGATTAGTTGGGATTCTATGTTATATCATCATATTAGACTAATACAACCCATTAAATTTCAAAATTTAATGTATTATGACCATTTTTAGAGGTGGGTGCACTGGATGCACCCAAAAAAGTGAGTGCACCGAAGTAGCCACCTTGTCATTCTGACCATGAGATTCTTGTCAAAACGGTATCAATTGTTGCTTATGATAATATGAACAAGAGAAGCACATGAATTTGAAAAAAAATTCATTCAAAATTTACTTTAATTCGAAGGATTTAGGATTTAGGGATTTAGGGTTAGGGTTTAGGTTTACAATTTGGGATTTTGGTTTAGGATTCAAAATTGAAAGTTAAGGGGTTAGGGTAATGGATTTATTTGTTATGATTCTATGTCATATCATCATATTAGATTGAGAGTACTATTTAAATTTCAAAATTTGACGTATTATGGACGCTTTTAGAGTGCACTGAGTGCACCGAAGTAGCCACTATATATATATATATATATTTAATTTGGACAAAAAATCATCGTTGAATATGACATCATCAATTAACTTACTTCAAAGTAAATACTAAATAGGAATGTATGGAGCCAAATAATCAAAGAAAAGGCTGTTTTTTGGAAGTTTGCACAGGTCAAACCGGGTTCAGGTGCAGACACTTCGTTCTGGCTGGACTACTGGCGGGGTGATCGATCTCTCGCTGAGGAGTTCCCGCGAATGGCCGCTGCCGCTGTTTCCCCCCATGCTTCGATTTGCGACCTGGTCCGAGTCTCCAATGAGAGTGTGCATTGGGATATACCTTTTACAACTTCTTTTAGAGGGGGGGGGGCTGAGAGGGAAAGGGAGAGATTTTTTGATACTCTTAACTCTGTGCCATCATCTGTTTTCTCCACAGGTTCAGACTCAGTAATTTGGCAGGCGGCCGGAAAATTCAGCGTGCGTTCCTTGTATAGCTGCCTTGTGAAAGAGAAATATGTGCAACCTGAAAACTACCCGCATAGATTCATTTGGCAAGCGTGGATTCCGTCCAAAGTCTGCACATTCCTTTGGACCCTTCATCAGCAAAAGATTCTCACACATGATTCCCTGAAGAAAAGAGGATGGAGTTTCCCCAGTAGGTGTGTCTTGTGCGCAGCGAGCGAGGAAGACGCGAATCACCTGTTCCTACATTGCAGCTTTACGGTCAGAGTTTGGACCATCATTGGTGCCTTCGTTCATTCTTCCAGAGGTACGGGGAGCATAACTCAGGTCATCAACGACTGGCCGCGTAGGAAGCCGGACAATCCCAAGGAGTGGTGCAGCTTGACTCTTCTTCACTCTTTATGTTGGTGTCTGTGGAAGGAAAGAAATCGCAGGATTTTTGACGGGGCAGCTAATACCGAATATGGAATTGCGTTCAGGATTGGTAGTCTCATTGCGCAGTGGTTATCGGTCGCTGGAAAGGTGGATAAAGAAGCTGCTGAGGATTGGCTTCGCACCGTTAGGAGCAGAACCATTGATGGTGCTCGGAACTTGAGGGCGCCTGTGAGTGCTGTGCCTTAGTCTTAATTGTTTCAGGCTGCCCTGGGAGCTTTTTTCTTCTTCTATTGTTCCTCGTCCTTCCCTTCTGCCTAAGCCTTTCGTCTCGCTTTGGATAGGCTGTTGGTCTTGGTTTCTGGCCTATATGTTTTGGCCTTTCCTTTCTGCTCTATTTTTTCTGTTTTTCTTGTACTTTCTTTCTATTAATTAATGGATGTCAACATTATCAAAAAAAAAAAGTAATTACTAAATAGGAATTAAAAATGAATAGGTCATCATTTTCTCTCACATTAGCCAATTTTACCACATTATTGTTGGTGCACATTAATGAGAATAGTGGACTATTTAGTTTCATTTTTCAAAGCATTTAATACCGAAAATGGGGATGTTTTAGGCAATATCGGCCCAGACACAGGAGAAACAATATTTGAAGCACCATTGCTCCTTCTAGGCCCCTGCAATTTTGGCACTTTTGTCGTGTTTCGAATCAAATTTGGCTCTACAAGCTCTCATGACATCGCGACTGAAGGAATGGATTCCAAAGCTTGTATCTGAAATGCAATCAGCGTTCATGGGAGGTAGAGCTATCCAAGATAACATTGTTATTGTCCATGAGGTGATGCATCACTTTAAAACAAGACCGGAAAGGTGGGAAGTGGGATATGATGTTGAAGCTCGACATGAAAAAAGCTTTTGACATGGTTGACTGGGATTGTCTTGATGAGATCCTCAAAGCTATGGGGTTCTCGCAACAATGGTGCTCGTGGGTCAGAATTTGTGTTCGTTCTGTGATATTCTCAATTTTGTTCAATGGCCAGCCTTCACCATTCTTTGAGCCGTCTAGAGGCATTCGTCAGGGAGATCCTCTTTCGCCCCTCCTTTTCATCTTACTGACCAATGCCTTATCTTTCCTTATCAATAAGAATGTGGATAATGGTTGTATCCAAGGAGTGACTCTTAATCCTTTCTGTCCTAGGCTCACTCATGTGTTGTTTGCAGATGATACGATCTTGTTTGGGAAAGCCTCGATGTCCGAAGCAATCACAATAAAAAATATGATCGAGGACTATGGGAGTATGACAGGTCAATTGATCAATAATGATAAATCAGCTATCACCTTTGGCTCAAATGTTCCAGAGGCCCTCAAAACATTGTTAGCTGACTTCATGAGCATTCCCCAGTCTGATGGAATGGGCAAATATCTGGGTGTTCCAACGGAATGGGGTAGATCGAAAAAAGAAGTCTTTTCAGGTCTTATTGCCAGAATGGAAAAGTTGGGTCAATCTTGGAAAAGTTTGGCTCTCTCTCAAGCTGGCAAAGAGACTCTTCTCAAGGCTGTTTACCAGAGCTATCCTACCTACTTGATGTCATGTTTCCTCATCCCCAAGGGTACAACAAAAATCATGGATGCTAAGTTGAGAGCCTTTTCTGGGGAGGAAATATGGACAAAGGTACAATCCATTGGAGGAAAGGAAGCGTCCTTACAGCATCTAAACAGGAGGGAGGAATGGGATTCAAGAATTTCCATCAATTCAACCTGGCTCTTCTTACTAAACAAGGATGTAGAATCCTTAACGGGGAGAACGAAATCTTGGTTAGTCTCCTTAAAGGCCTATATTTCCCTCATTCTGAGTTTTTGGATGCAGGTAAAGGAAGGAAACCCT